GAACCATTTCCAGCCGTTCCAGTTCTAAAATAAGAACAACTAATTGACAACAGACACACGCATAATGTCCTCAGAATTCTAAGTTACTTAATATTTTAACGGAAGCAGTTTTAATAAATTTTTATTATTATATCGACTTAACCTCAGTTATTTGTCATTTTGAGCACCCGGTGTTTACAACAGGGTGGGGGGAGTCTCTTTCCGAGTTCAATTTGATGAAAATACCCTCGCATCCGCCACGAATCTTGCGGCAGAGGCAGGAACAGCCGGATAAAGCTAGCTGGCTCCAGGGAATTTGAATTATAACTTGGAAACTTTGGGGCAACACACAGCAAAGACGATGCCAAGAGTTACATGAGAGGAGGAGAGAGGGTGAGGGGTCGTGAGGATGGGAGAAGGGGTAAGAGGTTGCGGAAGGAAACGGAACTCATCTCCGAAGATTTCAAACACCGAGGAAGTTAAAGTTTTGCACGGAGTTGTAAAAGAGTTAAAATGACTGTAATGTTTATGTTCTATCCCGTGTGAAGAGACAAACAAAATGGTTAGAGGTGTTTCCACTCATGATACTATAGACCTCGGCTTTCAAACAGGCACTGACTAACAGAGTGGAAGAAAACCAGTGGGGAATTTAGGTAAGCGATTCTCACGCCAGTTCCAGTGCTCAAGTTATTACATAATATATTTAACTTCAGTAAGGACGTAGTATATTTCGTGAGAGTTGAATCGAGCCTGATGTAAAGCATTCTACAGAAGGTTCAAATATGGCGTCACAAAAACAAAAGATATTATAATATGCATATAATAGATTACATTAGTTCTAAAAGTAACTCGTAAACCTGGTCTGATATGTATCCAAAGACTAACATGAGCAATAATTTAATACTTATAAAAATTAGTGACTTACTGTGTGCATAAATTAAATTGGTAAATATTCCCACTACCTTATAGCTGTCAGCTATAACCACAGAGCACTCTAACGTCGCCACGTTCGTAATTTTTAACACGAAAATATTCTTCACATAAAATTTGTAGCTGTGTTAATTTATAACCTACACCACATTTCACGTGTCTATGTTAAACGGTTCAATGAGCTGAAAAAAGTTTGGTTACACACTTCGCATACTTACTTACACCATGAAGCCAACAGTCGCTCAGCCATTTAAGAAATTCCCAACATTTTATGGAACCCGAAGGTTCTATGGGAGATAGGAGTTGAAGGAGACTGGATTTTGTTGACCCAGGACAGGGTCCGGAGAAGGGCTTTGGTTAATTCGGTGATGAACCTTCGGGTTCCGTAAGCCATCTAGTTAGTTAGTTAGACAGGAGAAGAAGCATACACGGGCCGTACTCCGCAACGCGAGCCTTAGCAGAATAGCCACGTTATGGGCCATCAGAGCTGTGTGCATGCACGCACGCGCACACACTACACTCGATCACCCTACTCTATTTAACAATTCGCATAGTATTTTTGCGTGGTAAAAGGAAACGTTCTACAAGCAACATGTTATTCTTATTATAAATTAACAGCAATTATACGTAGTCAGTTAAAATGAGATAAAATAACAATATAAATTCCAGCAACGTTTTGACTAAAGTAGTCTTGGCATATAAACGTAAATAATTCGTAAGACATTAACTACACGAATATGAGGTAGACCTTTTGAAGTATACTAAGCTAAGTACAGATAAAACTTAAATATTATTTACAAAAAAATATTTTATTTCACCTTAATTGTATATTATTATAATTACTGTGTTATAAAAGCAATAGAATGTATAATTTCGTAAGTCAGAGCACAGGGTAAGCTAAACAGCTGAAAGTCGCCATTAAATAAATTATGAATAAAACAACGAAACGTCTAACATAATTAAACCGCCGAACGATCTTTCAAGGCGAACTTGTGAGCTTAGAGTAAGGCCCACCTCAGACAGGTTCACGGCTTCCAGAGAGTGAATCGAAAGTAGGAAAATTTTGTTAACTGGCCTCAGAATAGAAAATCACAATCCAAATCAGGAAGGCCTACGTGCTGCTTTACTTGATGACGATAAGCGCTGTGTGCACCAGGGGACAAAACTGTGCCCCACGTTGGAGTTGCTTTAAGGGCTGTGCGAAGGGCGCATGTTATAAACTGGGCGATATTAAATTTCTGGAATTTTGTGGCGTGGCGTTGAGTTCGTCTAAAGATGGTACAGACTGTTACAGCTGTTGGGAAGGGAACGGGTGGTCATTCCACTTGAAAGTCTCGTGCGCGCTCTGGGGGAGGAAGCAGGACTGAAACAGATATTAAAAACTCATCCCAGTAGCACGTTAAGTTCTTTTATAACAATAACTGATGTGTTCACACGAGAAGTACCTCATTCGACATGCAACTGAAATTGTTTAAAACGTAGTTGTCAGCTTTGGATTTAATTTAAATACACATTCTCCAACAACAGTATCTGCCTGCAGTAAACCAATTATATTTGTTTATTTAACTACGATCTGTATAGTATATAGCGTCTAACGACTGGGTGGTTATAAATTAAAAAGTAAAGTGGAATAAAGAGTTCTTGGTCACATTATTTTACTGAGAACCGGTTGAATGTCTACGTGTTATCATTTTTACCTCTAAAAAACTAAATAAAAAACTTTGGGACGTGACAATTGTTCGCCACATGTAGAAGGCAGTGGTTTTACGGCCAGTCATATAAGTAAGGAAACGCACAAAACCTCACCCTGGATATTTGGTATCCAGACCGAGATTCGAAACCGGAATATTTTAAATATGTACATTAGGGATAGGATTGTAACAACTGCACATTGACGGTCTGTGACTATTTATACCACAGCATGACAACAGGGCCATTGACAAGAATATAGCCTTTCATATAGAAGTATGTGGCATGCATGGGGAATAATATTAGTCCTAAACACTTGATGCAAAGCTACCATCAAGGAAAACGAGACAGGCCTGTAGGCCTAGATATGACAGAAAAACTCTACAATGGATCTTAGTGAAACATGCTGTAAAGATTTAAACTGGACTGCACTGGCTGACGACGGGGCAAAAGTGCGGGGG